TGGTGAAAATAACCCAAATTAGGATGTATTATTTAGTTTGTAGGAAAGTTATAGAGTTCACAAACTATGGTATAGATCTGAATATTGATCAATCCTGAAGTACTGACAGCCAATCTAATTTCTTGAGGTCCAAGAATGTCAGAATAGTACAGATATCCCCAAATGACCCCTTTTTGCTGAGTAGACAGTCGGACGTACTTCATAAGAGGCATGGCGAGTTTTTTGAAGTTGTATTTTTTTGTCATAATTTTTCCGAAAATGAAAAAATGAAAAATATTATTTTCACTATTTTTTTTTTTACATACTGTCACCAGTGCAGTACAGCGTCATCATATAACTGGCATGGCGGTGAACAGGGACACTGACTGGTGACAGTATGAAAAAAAAAAAAATTATATTTTTTTTTAATTTTTTTTTAATTTTTTTTATTATATTTAATTTTTTATTACATTTTTTTTTTATTTTTTTTAAGATTTTTTTTCATATTTTACTATGACCAAAATAGTACAATGTTACCATAGTAACATTGTACTACTTTGGGGAAGTGATCAGTATTTTTTTTTTTTTTTTTTTTTTTTTACACAATTTGCTTATAGCAAAGAATTACTTTGCTATAAGCAAGCATTTAGCTGAATGAAATCGATTCATTCAGCTTTTTTTTTTTTTTTTTTTTGTGCTTAGCTGTGATTTGGTCACAGCTAATCACATGACATGTGCATGTGATTAGCTGTGACCATTCACAGCTAGGCACTAGTATACAATGGATGGCATCATGAATGAAGCCATCCATTGTATACAACTGTCATGTGACCTGCTGTGATTGGTCGCGGCAGGTCACATGGTACCGGCAACGGGAGCCGGTACTCGGATCTGTCATCGGCCGTGTCCGAGGTGCACGGGCGGTGACAGATCCCGCTGCTGCGCCGCTCTGCAATAGCGCAAACGGCGCATGTGCGGGAGCACGCCAAATGGCGTGGACCCGGAAAGCTGCAGCGCTTTTCAAGCCGCCAAACGGCTATTGGCCGGGCGGCTAATGGTTAACATACCAAACAAAAATATATTAAAAAATGAAAACATAAATGAACGTATACCAGAAATAAACAAATAAATAAATGTTTATATTTTGTAAATGCCTGTAAACCAGACATCCAAGCTCATAGAGTACAGAAACATTCAGTGCAAAGTGTTTAACAGGCAGAGATATACTGTATGTACAGTATATCTCTATACAATATATGTAGGTTAAGGTAAGGTGTGCGAGGTTGCACTGCTGGAAGAACAACTCCCAGAACTGTTTTAAACACAAAGTAAGCATGCTAGCTATTCCAAAATAACAGGTTTCACTAATAGAAAAGAAGAAAAATATGAAACCATGCACTCACACTATATTTATGTCTGTGTGAAAGGAAAGGAGTGCTGAATCTAGAGCAGTCCAAGTATGATCTCAAACTGAATCAGCACACGGTCAGCAGTGGGAACCTGACAACAAAGAGGACAATGTGGGCAACAGCTTGGCCTCTTATATCATCATAATTTTTTTTCATTTCTTTTTAACGTTTGGTATCATGTAAAGAACTAAAACCTCTGTTTTTAGTGAAAAAAACAAATATAAGCGGGTCATTCAAAATCACAGTTAGTGCAGTTTAGGTCAGCAAAACTTCAAAAGTACTGGACACATGATACATTACCATTAAGCTAGTTCTTGCATCAAGTTCATGCATTTTTTTCCTAAATTAAGAGAGAACAGCAAATACATCTAATGTCATAGCAGTCCTGCTGTCCCACATTACTAAACAGTGTACACTAAATCAGCATGTCAGACCATGTGTACTGCAATATGTAGATAAGCAAATGAACATCATTGGAAAGGACAATGGGGTTCTTGGATAGTGTTGGTGACCGTGTTATTGTTCTAGGGACTCTTTTCTGCAGCTCATAAACAGATCATATAAAACTTATTAGTACAACTCAACATTCATTTATAAATGGTAAGAGCTCCATTGTCTGTTAGAAAACTAAAGGAACTTTAGTTAGAAACCTAGATACTCAGATTGCATAAGGAGAGAGACTTACATCCACTGTATAGCTATTAATTTCACAAAAGAAAAAAATTTGGCACATCTGTGTAAATCATGTACAGAACTAAAGGTGTACATTCAAAATATACTGTATGTTCCTAGTAGTAATGGGCCAACTCCCCGATTGTTCAGTTTGCAGTGGAACATTCGAAATTACCGAAAGATCAACTGCAAACTTCGAACAGGGACAATTTACTGAGTGGTCTCTTACCGCATCTGAGTATGGGGTAAGATACCACTCGGCTACTAAAATACTGCATGAGTTATATTATGAAGTCATGCTGTATTTTAGTAGTGAAACATTCATTAATGTTTCAGTCCTAGATTGTAAGCTACAAGGAGCAGGGCCCTATTATGCCTCTTGTATTGAACTGTATTGTTGCTGTATTGTCTCCTGTTATATTGTAAAGCGCTGAGCAAACTATAGCTGTAACCAGCGTTCCCTGCTGACAGCTAAATGTCAAAAAAATTGCCGGCATTGCCCGAGAATTATTTTCTTTTAATGAATATTTTATTAATTTTTAATAAATCACATTACATCGTTAAAAATGTCAAAATATTCAACAATACGCAATTTCCTTCTACCTCTAAAAACAGAGAAAACCCCCACCCATCCATTCCCTCCCCCTTGCCCCCCCCCCCCCCCCCCCGCTCCCTAATATTTCCCTCTTATCTCCGCACTCCACTTTTGTACTCTCAAGGCACCCTTCTTTTTCTTCCTTTCTTATCTCCTCCCTATCTTTCTTTAAATTCCTCTTTGAACTTATCCAATTTCTCCCACCTATCTCTGAATATCACCATTCTATCTTCTTCCTGATGGTAGAGTTCCTCCATCCTACATACATAGTCAACCCTACTTATCCAATCTTTTTTTTTTCAGTATTTTCTGCTCTTGCCAAAATGTAGGCATTAACCCCTTTGCCACATTTAAAGGATGAAATGTCAATGAGTTCTTATATTTTTCAACTGTAGTTTCAGTTTTATGTAATCAGCATATGCCTGGATCTTTCGGAACCTCAACCCCAGTTATTTCCTGAATTAAATAAATTATTTCTTCCCAATATTCATGCATTTTAGGGCACTCCCACCCTATATGTGCCATTGTGCCTTTTATCCCACATCCTCTCCAACATAAAAGTGATTTATCTATTTGTTGTTTATGTGCCACACTTGGTGTAATATACCTTTCCAAACACTTATAATTAATTTTTCCACCACCCTCATATCTACCGCTCCATGTGCTAATCTAAACATTTTCTTTTTTTGTTGCTCGTCAAATGTTATTCATAATTCCTTTTCCCATTTCTCCTTATATGCAGTAGGGGCAACCCCCACGATTTCAATAATAGTTTTATAAATCCAAATTTCCCCAAATATATTTCAGTATCGTTTTTCTAATTGTTTTAAAATAGGCTGCTGGGAGTTGTATAGGCAACATGTGGAATTTATATAGGATTTTTGGGACAATTATCATTTTTATCAAGTTTATTCATCCTATCCAAGAGGATGGTACTACTGATAATCTTCTCAGTCCCTCATTTATCTAATTTATTAGTGGGATATAGTTTATTTAATATAAGTTCTTTAAGGACGAGGTCAATTTAATCCCCAGGTATTTTAATTGTCTTTCCCTCCATGAGAAGGGAAATTCTCTTTTCAAGGTTTTTTTTTCCATTATCAGGACATTAATATTTAATATATCTGACTTTACCAGGTTCATTTTTAAGTTTGACATCTCTCCAAAGCATTTCATTATTTTCATTAAATTAGGTAATGTCAGCCTAGGATTAGCCACATAGAACATCATATCATCTGCATACGCTGCCACTTTGTGTTCTATCTCTCCTATCTGGATCCCTTTTATATCTATACTATTTTTTACTGTTGCCAAGAGGGGTTCTAGGGATAGAACAAAAAACAGAACGAAAGCGGATACCCTTGTCTTGTCCCGTTATACATCCTAAAGAACTCTGATAGCGACCCATTGACCTTTACTGCAACTGAAGGTTGACTATAAAGCTTTCCTATCCATTCTCTCATTTTGGGCCCAATACCCAAGATCTTCATCGTGTCTAACATAAAGCCCCAATCTACCCTATCAAAAGCCTTCTCTGCATCAACTGACAAAACCAGTACAGGGGGTTTTTCTCTCTTACTTTTCTGTATAAGGAGTAATGACCTGAACCCATTATCTCCTCTATCCCTCCTGGGAACAAATCCCACTTGGTCCAGATGAATCCACTCAGGCATTAGATCTTTCAATCTGGTTGATAGTACCTTTGCCAACAGTTTATTATCTGTATTTGACAGTGAAATAGGCCGATAAATAGCACATTGGGTCCCATCTTTCCCCTCTTTTAATATGTGCATAATATATACTTGTAATGAATCCTCCTTCATCTTCATCCCTTCTCCTAATGCATTATATTCATTCATATCCTACTTTATATATATCCTCAATTTGGGGACTAGTTTTCTTGAAATTTTTTGTAATATCTCACTGTATACCTATCCGGCCCCGGGGTTTTCCCGCAACTGTCTCCTTCAATGCCCTTTGAATTTCCTCCTGCGTTATCGGGTTTTCTAGATGTTTTAATTGGTCTTCTAAAACCGGTAAATTTGCCTCTTTTAAATACCTTTGCCTCTGTCTTAATGTCTCCTCCTCTCCCCCTCTTAATTGTTTCCGATTTATGTCATATAATTTACTATAGTATTTTTGAATACCTTAGCGATATCAGTGGTCGAATGTGCCAGTTCTCCATTGTCGTTCTTAATTTTCTCGATATACTGTATTTTTCGCTCCATAAAACGCACTTTTTTACCTCCAAAAAATGGGGGAAAATGTCTGTACATCTTATGGAGCAAATATGTCAGAATACCGGTCCGGGTGCCAACTGAGTATGCGCGAGAAGTGCTGTGCTTTGTGAATGGTCTGGCAGTCTTCTGCGACCTGTCAAGTGTCCCAGAAGATGGGGAGGGAGGAAGTGGGATCGGATACCTGTCAAATTTGGGTACCCGCTCCCCCCCTCCCCAAAGGTCAGCAGTCTCTGGTCATCTCCTGTACTGTGTCCACAGTCTCTGGTCATCTGTAGTATGTCCACAGTCTCTGGTCATCTCCTGTATTGTGTCTGCAGTCTCTGGTCATCTCCTGTACTATGTCCGCAGTCTCTGGTCATCGCTTGTACTTTGTCCGCAGTCTCTGGTCATCTCCTGTAGTATGTCTGCAGTCTCTGGTCATTTCCAGTTCTATTTTTTCTTGTTTTCCTCCTCTAAAACCTAGGTGCGTCTTATGGGTAGGTGTGTCTTATAGAGAGAAAAATACGGTAATTCCTGGATTTCTTCTTTCTTTGTACTCTCATTAGATATTTACTCAGTTTATTCCCCCACTGATATCTCTCTCTTGTCAACATATTGAAAGTTTTTCTCAACTTCTTCCTCCGTTAAATTGTCTAATTCCTCTCTCTTTTTTATTATTTGCTGCTGTATGTCTACCGATATTCTCTTTTTATGATACTATTCCAGCTCATATAATTCTCTTACTAGCGTATTGATTTTCTTTTGCCATTCCTTTTTTTTTTTTTACCTCAATCGCTATCAATATTCCCCTGATATATGCCTTATGGGCTTCCCAGACCATGGCCACAGACACTCCTTCAGTCTAATTTCTTTCAAAGAACTGCTCTGTTTCTTTTTTTATTCTCTCTTGCGTGTCCTGATCCTTAAGGAGTGTCTCATTTAACCTCCACATGTTTGTCCTGTCCTGCTCCCTTGCCCATAATAATTTTGTTGTAACTGGTGCATGATCCGATACTGTTGTAACTTCTACGTTTTTTTTTTTTAAATGGAGTGGGGTCTCTCCCCCCATCCATACCAAACCGTTCAGATCTGTTATGGATTTTGAAGGGAACACCCACACCAAAATTAAAAAAAAAAATTGGTGTGGGGGTCCCCACCAAAATCCATAACTGATCCTGCACCTGAGCATGCAACCCAGCAGGTCCTGAACCATACCAGCCCACATGCCCTCAATATGGGGGGTGTCACAATCCTTCACACAGAGATGGGCGCGGTCATCCATTCTGCTCCAAACAACTACATTTTGGTATTTCTCTTAAACTCCCAAATCAGTCTCCCTCCTCCGATTTCCCCCTCCTTTAGGAATGCGTTCAGTGTACCTTGCTAGTCCCTGCCTGTGAGGGACCGCCGAGCGGCACCCCTACCACTCCACTGGTCAGGCGTGCCCAGAGCGCAGAGTCTAAGCCCCAGGGTACTTGTTCACCAGAGCCCCTGATGGTGGGGATGGACTTGTAGTACCCCGGGACCAGGTCACCACTACTGAGCACACCTGTCAGTGGTAGGGGTGTTCGCCAGGGGCTCCAACCAGAGAGAGCCAGATGTGAGGAGGTCGGGTGACCCCGATGGGATGGATGGATGGATGGATGGCTGAGCAAGTGCGAAGTCAGACAGGCCGAGTTAGTAACGTAGAGGACGGTAAGGTACAAGGGAGCGGGCAGAGAATCGTCGGGTCACACGCCAGGTCAGCAACAGTAGGTCAAATCTAATGAGGGGCATCCAGGAAGAGAGGTCAGGCAAAGCAAGGGTCTGGGCAGGAGAAATCAGCAGGTCAAGAACAATCCGGATCAAATAACTTACAAGGCACAGGTTCAGATACACAGGGAACAGGTAAGACCAGAAGGCACCGAAATGACAGCTCAGGGACATTTAAATATCTCGCCCTGCGCTGCCATTGGTGCCCAGCGGGCGGCCGCGGCTTCTACTACTGCGCATGCGCGAACTCGAACACCGCGGCCGGCTCGGACCTAGTGCCCGTGTCCCTGCACAGGGCGGTGCAGTGCACCTGCGCCGGGACCATCGCGGCGGGGATCGAGGGGATCCCTGACATTTCCCCCCCCCCCTACGGGCAACCTCCGGATGCCCACCCGATCTCTCCACCACGGGTGATCACAAAGAAACCTCCGGACAAGTCTGGGTGCATGGACATTATGGGCTGGTTCCCACGAATTGTCCTCAGGGCCGTAGCCCTTCCACTTGATGAGAAATTGGGTCTGGCCCCCCCTTCGTCGGCACTTCAGGATAGTCTCCACCTCGAATTCTTCTTCCTCTTCGACTGTTATGGCCTCCGGGGGCCTGGATTCCCGTTCCGGGAAGGCATCAGGGACTACCGGCTTCAGCAGGGACACGTGGAAAACAGGGTGGATCTTGAGTGTCTCAGGGAGGACAAGTTCATAGGCCACTTCATTGACCATCCGTTTAATGCAAAAAGGGCCTATAAATTTAGGTCCCAACTTTTTTGATGGGCAGAGCATCTTCAAGTTAGAAGTAGCCAGCCAAACCTTCTCTCCGGGCCGCAACACCAGATCCCCTCTTCGCTTCCTATTAAAAGCCCTCTTGTAATCTTCTTGGGCCTGACTGATGGCTTCCTGTAGTTTTTTATTGTTTGAAGCGAAAAAGGTTAGTGCATCCTGTGTTGCTGGAATTGGGCATTCCGGGACTAAATCCGGGAGGAAGATAGGGTGAAACCCATAGTTGGAGAAGAACGGGGACTGCCCTGTTGCTGAATGGCAAGCGTTGTTGTACGCAAATTCCGCCAAAGGGAGAAGTGGCACCCAGTCGTCCTGAGAGAATGATGTGTAGCATCGCAAGTATTGCTCTAGGGTCTGATTGGTCCTTTCGGTGTGACCATTGGTCTGAGGGTGAAATGCCGAGGAAAGGGAAAGCTTGATATCCAGGGCCTTGCACAATGCCCTCCAAAATCTTGAGGTAAACTGCACCCCTCGGTCCGAGACGATGTCTTGGGGGACCCCATGCAGTCTAACAACCTCTCGAATAAAAGCTTGCGCCGTCTCGGCTGCTGATGGAGTCTTCCGTAAAGGAATGAAATGGGCCATCTTGGATAAACGGTCCACGACCACGAGAATTGCTGTGTGATCCAGTGAAGGTGGAAGCTCGACTATGAAGTCCATAGAGATCTTCTGCCAGGGCGTTCAGGGATGGGCAATGGACGTAGCAGGCCCCACGCCTTATTTCTTGTAGGCTTGTTCCGCTGGCAGATGACACAGGAGCCCACGTAACTCTTACAATCCTTGGCCATGTCCGGCCACCAGAAGGAACGTCGGAGAAGTTCCAAGGTCTTGACCGGGCCAAAATGTCCTGCCATCGGGTGGTCATGGCAATGTCCCAAGACTAGGGGTTCGAGCTTCCTCCGGCACCACAATCCGGTCCTCCCTCCATAGGAGTCCCCCCTTGTTCAGGTGGGGCGCCCCATCGGAGGTAGACATGGCTGTGGACGCTCTCATTATCTCGGAGCGAAGGTTCGTCTGGAGAGCCAAGAAGTTTCCTGCAGGCAGAATAGTGTCAGGTACTGGGATCTCCTTGGCATCCTCGTACATGCGTGACAACGCGTCCGGCTTCGTGTTTTTTGATCCCGGCCTGTATGTGATGTGGAACTGGAACCTCGAGAAAAACAATGCCCATCTTGCTTTCGTGGGCGCAAACGTTTGGCGGCCCTCAGATATTCCAGGTTCTTGTGGTCCGTGAATATCAGGATGGGGTGTGAGGCACCTTCCAGCAGGTACCTCCATTCTTCTAATGCGGTCTTGATAGCCAGTAGTTCTCGATCCCCAATGTCGTAATTTCTTCTCCGAAGGGGTAAGTTTCCGTGAGAAGAATGCTACTGGGTGAAGTAATTCCTTGGCGCCCTTTCGCTGGGAAAGAATGGAGCCAACCGCGTTTTTCTGACGCATCTACTTCTAAGATGTAGGGCAGGGAGGCGTCAGGATGACCCAGAATGGGTGCCAAGGTAAATAACTTCTTTAATGCTTCAAAAGCTTCCTGTGCCTCTGGCGTCCATCTGAATCGCGTCCCAAGCTTGGTTAACTGAGTGATGGGGGAGACCAGACCCGAGAAGTTCTTGATGAACTTCCGGTAGAAGTTTGCGAACCCGATAAAACATTGGACGCTTTTCCTGTCCGTGGGTTCAGGCCAATCTAGGATCGCAGAGACCTTCTGAGGGTCCATTGCGACCCCCGTGGTGGAGATAATCAGACCCAGAAATGTAATGCTAGCCTGTTCAAAGCAACATTTCTCTGCTTTAGCGTACAACCCATGCTGCCGCAACCGCCCCAACACCTTTGTTACATGTACCCTGGGCTCCCCCAGGGAGGATGAGAAAATCAAAGATGTCGTCTAAGTAGACGATGACAAAGATGTCCAGGAAGTCCCTAAAGATGTCGTTTACAAAGTGCTGGAAGGTGGCCGGCGCATTGCACAACCCGAAAGGCATGACCAGGTACTCGAAATGGCCGAAACGGGTGCGGAAGGCCGTTTTCCACTCATCCCCCTCCCTTATGCGAACCAAGTTGTAGGTTCCCCTTAAGTCCAGCTTGGTAAATACTACTGCAGCCTTTAAACTCTGGAATAATTCTGGTACCAGTGGTAATGGGTAACGGTTCTTGATAGTGACCCTATTCAGTTCCCGATAGTCGATACATGGCCTCAAAGTCTTGTCTTTCTTTTCTACAAAAAAGATCCCTGCACCTGCTGGGGAAGTGGAGGGACGGATGAATCCCTTCCGGAGGCTGTCCTCAATATAATCCTTCAGGGCCCCTAATTCTAGCTCAGAAAGGGGAAAAAATTCGCCCGAAGGGAATTTCAGAACCGGGTAACAGATCAATAGGACAGTCATATGGGCGGGGGGGGGGTAGAGTATCTGCTCCCCGTTCACTGAACACATCAAGAAACTTATGATAGGCTGCAGGAATCACTTGTTTTAGGCTGGCATCCCCTTCAGAGCTGTCAAGGTCCTACCTTTTCCCAGAGGTTATGTTACTCCATGTGCTGGCATCCATCTTGGATTTCTGCTGAGCATGATGGGAATCTTTTATGCCTTCAGGTCTCTGAGGTCCATCCCCCAGAGGGGTGTGGCTGAGTACATATAAGCCTGGGATCTGCACATGCTCTTTGCACTTGTGTCTTGTGTCTTTGTCTTGCTACAGCTCTGTGTATACGCTCGTGACTCTTCTGGTATTCTGACTCGGCTTGTGACTAGACCATTCTCTGTGTTTTCCTTCGATCTGACCTTCCGTTGCTGAACCCGGCCCGTGACCTGTGATTCTCTGTCTACTGTTCTGTACTGTTTTGTCCCGTTGTTGTTGTTGACCCGGCTTGCCTGACTACGCTATTGTCATTCTCACCAGCTACACGCCATTGGCGGCGGCCATTACCGCAGCCGGGGTGTCTCGGGGGCCGCGACCTGGTTCCTGGCTGCGTCAAGTCCATCCCCACCATCAGGGGCCCTGGTGAAGGGCAGCCTGGGACTTAGACTCCGCGCCCTGAGGGACTTCGGTCTGTTGGTGGTGGTTGTCGTCAGCCAGTGCGTTACCCTGCCACTAGGCCTACCTGTCCGTTCCACAGCCCTGCCCTGACAAGAGCACAGGAGGACCTGGGGGACCTCCGGGCCCGAAGTTCGGCACAGTTCCCGACAGTATGGGGGGGAAGGGAA